TGCGTATGGGTAAGGTAGTTGTCCAGTTTCATCCTATTGCGTGCAGCTGTCCTGTTTTCCCAATACCATTTATTGAAGAGACTGTCCCTTCCCCATTGTATATTTTTGGCTCCTGTGTTGTAAATCAATTGGTCACATATGCATGGATTTATTTCTGGATTCTCTATTCTGTTCCATTGGTCTTTGTGCAGCTTTAATGGCAATATTATACTGTTTTGATTACTATAGATTTTAATAAGTTTGAAATTAGGGAGCCTGATACCTCCAGCTCTTCTTTTTCAAGATTGCTTTGGCTAGCCAAGGTCTTTTGTAATTCCATGAAAATTTTCGAATTGTTTGTTCAATTTCTGTGAAAAGTGCCATTAGAATTTTGATAAGGGATTGCATGACTCTGTTGATTATGTTGAGTAGTATGGACATTTTAACAATATTAATTCTTTTAATCCAAGGATGGAATATCTTTCCTTTTATTTGTATCTTCTTGTTTAATTTCTTTCATCACTGTCTTACAGCCATTATTTCTTGAAATGTTCTTTCTGCCCCCTTTTCTCTCTTCTCCATTTCTGAAATTCTCATTATGTGTGTGTTAGTATTCTTGTTGGTGTTCCTTAAGTTTCAGAGCCTCTTTTTATTTTTCTCATCTTTTATCTTTATATTCTTCTGACTTGAAAATCTCAATATACCTGTCTTCAGGTTCATTGATTCTTCTGTTACTGGAATCTACTGTTGAGCCTCTCTAGTAAATTTTCATTTCATTGTTTGTACCTTCCAACTGCAGAATTTCTATTTGGTTCTTTTCCATAATTTCTATTTTTTTTCAATTGATATTCTTTATTTGTGAGAGGTCTTTTTTCATATTTTCCTTTAGTTCTATAGAAGTAGTTTCCTTTAGTTTTTTTAACATATCTAAAATAAGTGATAAACATCTTTGTCTACTAAATACAACATTTGGGCTCCCTCAGGAGCAGTTTCTGTCTATTGACTGCATTTTTGCTTGCTTATGGTCTTACTTTAATGTTTATTTGCATGTCTTTGTTGTGGTGGTGGTTGAAAATTGTACATTGTAAATAATGTAATGTGGCATTTCTAGAAATAAAATAAGTTTATTTTTGTTGCTATTTGTTTAGTGACTTTGCTGAATACTATAAAGTCTGTATTCTTCAACATGTGTGACCATTAAAGTCTACTCAACTACCTTAGTGGCCAACTAACAATTGGAATGAGATTTCCTTAAATGGCAGAATCAGTAAATCTCCCAGTTTTTACCAAATGTCTCTGTGTATATTGGAGCACCCCTTCATTGTTCAGCCAATTGAACACTAAAACTTAGCTTTAACTTCCTGATTTCAGAGACTGAAAGCCAGAGGAGAGAACTTAGGGCCTTCTAGAAACACTCTAAGCATGTGTAGAACCCTGCATATGCACATGGACTTCTAGATTTCCAGAAATATGTCAAAGCTTTTCAGAGTCTCTGTGGACATCTTATTCCCTACCTTTTTCTTGTAAGCTTTTTGTTAGCTTATTGTTTGCCCAACTGTTTTCCAATGCTCCAGACAGCCACAAATTTAATTCCCTCTAAATGTTTTAGAAAAATGCTCCCAGGGAAAAGGTGTTTTGTATTGGATGAGCTGTGAGTCAGATAAAATAAAGACAGCTTTGCAAGTAGTGTCTTCCAGGGAGCCACCAGACAAGTCAGATAATGGTAATTCACTGGAAATGACTCTGAAGCAACTCCGACTCCATCCTGTTACCCCTGTGGCTGTGACTTCTTATTTTTCCTGTAATTATGTGCTGTTGTTTTTTAGCTACTACAGAACTGAAAAAGAGGACATGGGAAAAAAGGAAGAAAGAAAGGAAGACATGGGAGTAGGGCAAACTAAATTACATGAAGCTCATTGCCCTTCCCAAGATTCAGCTATTTTTCTTAAATAAATGTTCCTCACATTGCTGCAAGCATTTTGTTAATTTCCATAATCCTAGAAAACTTCATCCTGACATTTTTTCATGTTTTCTCATTGCTTTTATAGGAGAGAAAATTCTGGGAGGTCATTACTCCGCTGTTTTTTCTGTCTCCTAAATACTCCAGTGTTGAGTATATAGATTTTAATAATCTGTGTGATGAAATAGAAGAACATATAGAAGAACACTTCTGCTGCATACTGAAGTATAGTGTTTGCCTCAAATAAAAGCATTTGTGCAATTGTTTCGGTTAGGAACTGAACTAGCTGCTCTTTTCATAGAACACCATATTTATGTGACAGACTAACAGTGTTATACAGACATGAGTATTTGGCAGATATTTCCTTAAACATGAATTAAGTGAACCTGTCATGTCAACAAAACTACTGACAGAAGTTGATCCCAGTGATAAGTCTTAAACTTTCAAGCAAAAATAAAAATTTGGGAAAACTTGTATCTACAACTCTGTTCGATAGCTGTCCAGTACTTATATTTTTCTCATGAGATTGGCGATGATGTTAACAAATATAATTGTGTGGTATTAATAATGAAATGTACCCAAATTTAGAAGAGCTGCATAACTCCATAAATCAATATTTTTTAGATAAGCGATGCATGTTGTTAACAAAATCATGGATGCATAGAAGATTCTTCCACAGTTTAAGATAGACCAATAGATTTTAATATAAAAAGCACAAAAAGTTCATAGATTTGATTTCACATTTCACATTTCAACTAACCCTTAAGAAACTATCATTTATCAAGTTTTGCTATGAAAGAAGAATATCCACAATTATCTGAAAAGGCTACTAAAAGAATCCTATTTCTTCTCAAGGTGGTGGAATGTGCCATCTTGGGTATCTGCTAGTTCCTCTCCCTCGTCTTCTACCCATCCCCCTATTCACCAGGTCATGCTCTCTCTCAAAAAATATAAAATCTTTTCATAAAATAAAATAAAAGAATTCTATTTCCAACTGTGTATCTCTTTAAGACCAGATTTTCTTCACACATTTCAACTAAAATAACATATCATAACAGACTGAATACTGAAAGAAATATGACAGTTTAGCTATCTTCTATCAATCCAGACATTAAAGATACGTACAAATGTGTAAAACAGTGCCATTCTTTTCACACTTTTTTGTTTTTGGAAAATACAGTTATTTTTCATTAAAATATTTACATTAACATATGGGTTATTTTAAAGCAGTTAACACAAATAGTTTTAAAATTTGTGTTTTGGGGCGCCTGGGTGGCTCAGTGGATTAAAGCCTCTGCCTTCGGATCAGGTCATGATCCCAGGGTCCTGGGATCGAGCCCCGCATTGGGCTCTCCCCTCAGTGGGGAGCCTGCTTCCTCCTCTCTATGTCTGCCTCTCTGCCTACTTGTGATCTCTCTCTCTGTCAAATAAATAAATAAAATCTTTAAAAATAAAATTTGTGTTTGAATTTCTACTGTGATAAAAACCAAAAGTTATAACTCATCTGAATAAAAGTTCTTTAAGGCCCTTAATAATATTTAAAAGGGCAAAAAGGTCTTGAACTGAAGAGTTTGAGAATTGCTTACGCTAGTTTTTCTAAGATCAAAGTCTTAATCACAAACCAACTGGAAAATATAAAGGTGGCTACTATTCAGTATTTAATTCAGTTGCCCATGTTTAGTGCCAATATTTTTATGTGACCCATGCCCCAAATCTGCTCATCCACTCAGGCATGATGGTCGGAATTACTCTGCACAGAACCAGAAAGGCTGATCCTTTCTGTTTTGTGAATAGACCACGCTTCTCCATCTGATAGCTTTTGTGCAAGGCTATTACTCTGCCTGGAAAGCTCTCGCACCCACTCTCTTCACAATTCTTATTTAGTCTTCAGATCTCAAATCAAATGTCACTATCTCAGAGAAAACTTCCCTGACCTATTCCTTCCAAAACTCTTCTCCAGATTTCACTAAAACCCCTAGTCTCTTTAATGAGTCCAAGAACATTTTTTCTTTCATTAGCACATATCACAATTTGTTAATTATGTAGTTTTAGGATTTGACTAGTGCCTTTGTCTCCCTTAAACTTCAGCTTCACAAGGGCAGTTTTCTTTGAGCTTACTGTTTTGTCCTCAATATGTATCACAGTGTTTGCCAATATATATATACAGAATGATTCAATTATTTTCCAATATGAAAACCACATGTTGAGGCAAGGAAGAGTGCATTTTACTGATTGTCCCATCATTTTAAATAGTTTTTCAAATAACAAGTCATGAGTTAGGAGAGATCTGTTGAAAACAGTTTTTATTGTATGGCCTTCCAAGTAAAAAGATATCTTAGCAACACAATTATTCTGAAAGAAATTAGATTGCTTGATTTGTTGACACAGATGCCATTTCACAGAACTTTCTCCCAACTCATGCTTCTTAGTTTCCAAGCTTTTTAAAAAATAAAATACAAAAAAGACTTTTACTAATGGTTATGGTGAGGCTTTCTCTAAAAATATCTTTTATTAAATACAGGAGGAGATTGGATTCATGCTGTATTATTTCTTTTGGGACTAATGGTGCATTTTCCAACTTCAGAAATTGTTTTTAAGACCGCAAAAGTATCAGATTAAACGAATGTGGTGACTACCTCAGGACAGTAGTATTTTATTATATTTTTCTTCCAAGAATGTAACTGTTATAAATTACTACAGTTATTTATTCTTCACTTTACAATTTATTAACTGAGGGGGTCATATTTTATTCTTCTGCCATTTGAGTAACTTTTGTGTCTGTTTTTATGTAGCAGTGACAAATAGTTTTTCATTTGAGGGCTCTAGACTTTGGTCCTGTTTTAATTAGGAGACTTTTGAGATTTGGATGAAGGCAGCATATTGTCCTTTCAGGTATCCAGGCAAAATTTGCAAGATCTGTCTAACCGTAAGAGTTACAAACGGCCTTCAGATAATAAGTCTAGTATACTTTAATAGCACTGCTTTCAGAATTTACAGCCCTTACTGTAGAGTACTCAGTGTTGATGTTACTGCTAATCTCAAGTGGTTTTGTTTTACACAGAAACAAATGGATATCAATGCTGCTATTCAAGCCTTGATTGAATCACATACTGCCCTACAGATGGAGGTAATATATCTGGCTTTATTTACATTGGCACTCTCAATATACAAATTAAACAAAGTTTTTTCTGAGTCCAAAATGTGGCTTTATCTCAAAGATTGCACTTAAAACAGATTGAACAAAGTAGGCATTTTTTAATAAACAGAAATATATGCATGGGATGTTTTTTAAGGAAACCATTTAAAACAAAAATGTAATACATTTAAGGAATTTTTTAATAAGGAATTAGATACTGTAGGAGAAAATAGTTAAATGAAACCTAGCCACCTCTTAAAATAGGATCTATCATTGTTACTCATTTTACTCATTTAAACTCTATTCCGTGTACAATTTTCTTTAAAACATTATACTATACCAGGCATAGTAATTGTTTAGTTTTATGTTAGCTTGCAAACTAGGCCATTAGAGTAAATTTAATCTCTTATTTAGGGTCAAGATTAATAAAATATACACATAGGCCTGTATTTACATATAAACTGTTCTTTACACCCCTCTTCCAACTCATTGCATACAGCAAGGATACATTTTTCTTCTGCCTTGGTCCATGTTGATCATGAGGGTTACATACTTACTGGTGATGGCTTCCCTATGCTTTTTTTGCTGATTGATTCCTTTGATGACTTGGCAGAGCTACCAGAATACCGAAGTGACTTTAATTGACTATAGTGCAGAGATATTCAAAACCCTGAACTACCTTAGCAATTTACTGCACAGCATCAAGAACCCTCTTGGCACCCGAGATAACCCAGCACGAATCTGTAAAGATTTGCTTAACTGTGAACACAAAGTATCAGATGGTAAGTTCTTGGCTTTTTTTTTTTTTTTTTCAAACTCTGATGTCCTATTTCATCATTTCAGTGCATTTGAGATTTAGAGTGTATTCATTCAGAATCATAATCATTTTGATAAAAACCTTGTAGAATGCATTTTAGTGTTTTCAAAAAACAAATACTCTTAGAGGGACATAATTCTGAAGTCAGAGTATCCTTTTCTGAGGGCTCATTAACAATGTCTTCTACACAGCCTTATTGATCCCCAATGTTTCCTACTCCACAATAACTATATCACTTGCTTACCCTTTGTGCTTGGAACATATCATACTCATCTTAAAAATTAAAATAGGAAGGACTGACCTTGACTTTAATTGACTACAGGAGTACATGTCAGGTCTACCAGAAGTGGTAACATGAAAAAAAATATGGTAGAACCCCTGCCACCACACCTCCTGAATTTATGGTTTTTACACAAAACGGAAATTAAATGCATCATTGCAGAGTCACTGAGTAGGAAGATGGTTTGGTATTCTTGGAATTTTTTTGTCCCTACACAGATAGCCCAAAATCCATTAACCAGAGGTGCAAAAATGAATTTAGAGTAGAAGCATCAGGAAAAGTTTTAAAGCAAGTAGAACAGCTATAATTATCTAATGATAAGTAAGGGAACACTGTCTGCTACAATACATCATTTAATTTTAATTTCTATTGGGTCTGAGGTCAGCTGCACATTCAATATTAGTAGTTACCGTTTTTTGCTAAAAATTCTGTTCCCAACAGAGTAACATATACACTGATTTGGGGGGGTGGGGAATCATGTTATATCCTTCTGTAGGGTGAATAGTAGT